ATGACTCGAGAAGTTGGGAAAAACTTCTCCAAGAAAGCCCGTTTCATGCTCTCCTAAGATGTGACAGTTCCGGGAGCCAATTCATACAACCAATCTTTAGCTTTATCCATTAGAGAGAATGGAAAAGCTTTCATCTTCAAGATGCTTCCATCGACATTCACCGGGGTCATGCTCGAACAAACAACTTCGAACTCCTTTAAGTGTTTGTTTGGATCCTCCATGGACAGCCCATGGTACTTCGGAATGTGATGTAACAAACTTGACTTCAATTCGAACTCGGCAATCTTATCTGGAGCCGCCCTAGGATATTAAATACATAGGGGTGCGGCATTGTCCAATCCTGAAGCGGACAACTCCTTGATTGTTCGGTTGTCCGCTGCCATGTCTACTTCACCCCCTCTTGCCGTGGGTTTCTCTTCTTCAGATTCAGAAACGGACTCAGAGCTTTCACTTGATTCGCTAGGTTCTGGGTTCTTTCTCTTTCGTCTCAATTCCCGCTCGAAATCGTTGTCAAAGTCCGAGATATGTTCACGAATCAGATGAGAACTCAGAGTCATAAACTAGTACCTAAAACAAGAAACAAAACAAGATTAAGAATCTGGAATAAAATAAAAACAAACGAAAATAAAACAATCCAAGAGATTAGCAAAGTTGCTAATCCCCGGCAACGGCGCCAAAATTTGATGCGAGAATTATACGCACACAAATTAAACCCTCTTTTTATCAATTGTAGTAAGTATGTAAGTAGGGATCGTTCTGGACCGGGGATTAGGAGGGATTGTTAATCACTTGGATTTGACTCAAAAACGTAAAAACAAGTTTAAAACACTATACTAGACTCAAAGAATGCAAACTCAAAATAAGATAGATTGTAATGACTAAGACTAAACAAAATATGGGGGGATTGAGGTTTTGACGAAATTAAACTAAAATGGACAGATTGTAAAGAAAACAAATTGTAAATACGAATTTGATGGAATTGAATGGATGGGAGGCTAGCTAAGGGGTTCATCTCCACACATGTTATACTTGCACACAAAACGATTTCTAATTGCTTTTCAATAAACCATGAATTCTCAACACCCCAGATTAACCGTGAATTGCACTAATTAACCCTCATATTTTCCTAATGTTATTGAATTGGATGATTGCATACGACAACCCAAAACATTCCCCACAAGTCCCCTACATGATTGCATAATAGAGATACAAGCAAGAATCATTAAGTTCTTTGAAAACCATAAGCATTGACGAAGCACTTGTTACTATGATTGCATGAAACTTATGCCAAGAATTTACTTAACGCGATTGAGATCATCAACCTTTACTACTTGTGAATATAATTTCATAACGATTAGGTGAAATTTCCTTATATCCTAGCATCCAATTTATGTGTGATAATTAAGCGTGCACTCTCAACCAACACACACAAATTAATGTAATTCACATAGATAAGTAAATTGAATTCACAACTTATGAGACGCAATTAGAAGTAATCAAATCATATCGCAAGCATAAACATGTATTTCGAATCCCCCCCTAGCCAAGGGGGGTTTAGTTCCTCATATGTACAAAACAAAGATAAATAATTTTAACCATTGAAATCAAAGAGAGGAAAGCACCTAAAAATTCCAACAACTCAAACTTGAATTGTATGAACGTTTAAGCACTCTTCTCCTCCTCTTTGTTGCGGCACAAGGTCTAAGCACGGGTTTTGGGATGTGTTTGTATGTGGAATGGATTGGGGAATGGTTGTGTAGTGTTTTGGAGGGATGGGGTGTGGTGAAATGGAAGGGGAGAATGCTGGAAATGAAAAGGATGCACGGCAAAGCTTGCTGTTTTTGTGTTTTTTTGTTGTGTTGTTGTGTGAATGGAAGAATTTCTGTGGTGAATGGAGATGTGGAATGGTGTGTGTATGGGAATGCTCCTTTGTGGCTGCAATGGATGCTTATTTATAGGTGGATGAATGATTAAAAGAGGGAATATGACAGCTAGGAGAGAATGTGGCTGCCATCATGAAGAGTGAATGGATGTGCTGAAATTGGATGTGTGATGCACGGCAAGGGAGTGATTGTTGTTGGAAATGAATGTGAAAGCATGTGAGTGGCAGCTAGGGTGAATGATGATGAATGCATGTGGATTAAAGAGGGAGAATGTGGTGCAATGATGAAGTGGGAAGCTGGAAATGCAAAGGGGGAATGCTGGAAATGAAGGGGAAGGCACGGCAAAGGCTTTGTTTGGGTGCATGTGGCTGAATTGCTTCTTGGGAAAGCATGTGAGTGACAACTAGGATGATTGGTGGCTGCAATGATGAAGGGGAATGGAAGAATGTGGCTGCAATGATGGTGTGGAATGCTGGAAATGAAGAGGATGCACGGCAATGGATTGTTGTTTGTGTGAAGTGTGTGTGAATGGTGGTTTTGCATGGCTTTGATGGATTGTTTGATTGGGCTAGAGGTTTTGCATGGCTCAAAGGATTGCTTGATTGGGCTAGGCCCTTTGTTTTATGTCCTAAAGTGCATACAAGGCTTCAATTTCGTCCAACACTTTGGCTCCAAGCATAAGCTATCCATTCTAAGCCCAATTTTGCTCCAAAATGCTCCAAAATGCACCTTTTTGCTTCCTTAGCCATATGAACCTAGAAACACACGAAATTGGCATAAAGGACTAAAATAACTAAAGAAACACAACGTAAATGCACGAGAATAAGCCAATTAAGTCGCATAAATATGCTCCTATCAACTGTCCAGAGATATCACTGCCAAGGGCCAACTTTTACTTGTCCTAGAGTTGATACTTCATTTTATTTCAAGGAAAAAGGTAATACAAAAAGAGGATGACAACAAAGAAGAAATAATATCTTCGCCAATATGAAGAATCAGAACGAAAAGCTAAAGCACATAAGTTTAACTTATTACAGATGACATTAATCTACAGAAAAAGGTAAAATTTAAGTCATTTTTCGGTACAAGGGATGAAGAATCAAATTCAAGTCTTACTTTCGGTGTTCTAGTTATGTAGTTAAGAATTTTGATATCAAGCAAAGTAAGAAACCCATTAACCCATTTAAAAAGCAGAACTTAAATTACTGATATGGTTAAACTAATCAAACTATTATAAAAATTAAAACAGAACAAGAATTGGAAATTCCAAATTGCAGTGCCAAACATTTTGCAATCCATCATCCAACCAACTAACAGGGGAAATTGACAAAAACCCATTGGACTAAAAACATTAGAATACTGCATATTCATTTCAACAATGCTCAAATGCCGTTTATCATGTCAGGTGTCCCATGTCTTTTGAAATTTAACCCAAAAGCACTTTCTAATTAGTAGTCATTGGTCAGCGCAGCAATTTCTAGTCGGCGGAAAATCAAGTCAGCACATTTGACAAATAAAAAAAGTTCATTTCAATACATATTGGTTTATAGATTTGGAGCAAAAGCAGCAGTTTAAAGGACACATCAATTGGTTTGTCACCAAAAAATCAATTTGACAAAAACCCAACATGCAATTTGAGCCTAAACCCTAAATAACAAAAACCCATCGAAAATCAGAAACCCTCACCTTGATTTTGGGACTTAATTTGCGTCAGCTTCGAGTTTTGGCGTCGCTGCCTTGCGAACGAGAGGGAGAAAGATGAGTCTTAAAAATCAAATTCGGATTCAATATATGGGAAAGAGGGAAAGAGGGAAAGAGGGAAAGAAAAAGGGAAAAAGGGAAGAAGGAAAGAGGTTTATACGGGAGGGAAAGAGGGAAAGAAAAAGGGAAAAAGGGAAGAGGGAAAGAGGTTTATACGGGAGGGAAAGAGGGAAATAAAGAGGGAAAGAGGGAAAACCTAGTTACAGGGAAACAGGGAAATTAAGTGGGGTTTTACGGGAAGGAGGGAAACAGGGCAGGAAACTGGGGTTTTTATGGGAAACAGGGAAACTGATTTTTTACGGGAAGGAGGGAAATAGGGAAATTAAGTGGTCTATTAATTATATGGGAAAGAGGGAAAGAGGGAAGAGGTACACATTTAGGAAAATTTAAAAAATGCGCCTATTTTTCACTATTGGACCGCCAAAATTATCAAAGCTTGCGCGACGTAGGTATACAATTTGACGTCGCGCAAAGTGCTTTTGCGCGACAGTCATGTTAAGGCTTCGCGCAAGGTAATTTTTTTTTCCAATTATTATAAAAATTACTGAAAATATGACTTTACTTTTTTCAAATTCAAAATTTTTTTACATAAACCCCACAATAATACATTTTTCTAATAAAAACCCACAATAAATTTTTTTTTACATATATATTTTTCAATTTCGTAAGTGTTATAATTTGAATTAGAATTTAGGGTCAATCAGCATTTTTTTTGGCGCATTATGAGTTATGTGGGATCGTTTAAGTTTGTGCATGTTGTTTAATTAGTTTAATTTGTTTCAAGTTTTGAATTTGCATCGATTTTATCTAGGCATCAGTTGCTTTGATTGAATATTTACTTGAAATGGTTCAAATTGTTTTACCCAGCTTGAATTGTGGATTTGTTGCTTCAAAAGCACTCGATTTGCTTTTCTCTTGGGGGATCCAAGAGAGAAGTTGTGTGATGCAGTGCAAGATCTCAAGCTTGATTCGCTTGTCGTTGGGAGCAGGGGCTTAGGCCCTAACAAAAGGTGATCATTATTCGACTAATATTTCCTCATAAAAACACAAAAGAAACGAGAGAAAATAAGAGTTTTTGTGTTTGATTAAATATTTTTCCTGCAAAATGGTTGATTAATATGTGCGATGAATTTGCAGGGTGTCCTTCATACCCAATGACATAGATTGCATTTAGTTTTATGTCAAGAGCCTAAACGTTGACAGAACGGAGGCAAAGCGTTTCACTGGTCAGAAATGAAGTGCATAACTTGTTATATTACGGAACATCAACATAAACTATGTTGGTAGCATAGGTCATAATACAAAATGACCAGACCAATACGAGGAGAGCAACTTCATAAAAAAGGAAAGACGAGAAAACAGACTACACTTGCACCCTCAGACATATGGATAGTATCTAATCAGTAATTGTCTTTTCCTAATACCAAAACAAAACAGGTTTTCGACGTCCTCGGAAGGAAAAGTAAGTAGGAACAAGTATAATGAAATCCACATTAAAAATGATCCATTTTCTCATGCCAGAAGCAGACCTGAACTTTGAAGCGATTTAAGGACATCGAATTTCTTAAAAGTGTATCCAATGAAATTGGTATCTTTTGATGTTACCATCTGCAACGCCAAACAAGCAAATCATATAAGCTTTCGTACTGATGCAACACAGATTAGCAATGAGTACTAAACCAATTCCCTTCACAGAATGCTTTTACACGTGTTGGCAGGGGGACCAGGGGACGCAATTGGACATGCGACAAAAATGCTTTATTTAAAGGAAAACAAAATTGAAAGAGCATAAAAGAGATTTTAGCAACTTGGTTTCCAAAACAAAGCTTTACTCACAACTAGAAAATATAGGAGAAAATATGAAGTTTACCTTCCGCCAAGGTCCCACTGTTGGCATTGTTGATGGCTGTCCCTCTACCTATAATAGGGAAAAAGGGAGGGAAAAAAGTTAACCATAGGGTGGCAACTACTATCAATATTTCGCTTTGATTGAACAAAAATATGCTTAAAAATGGAAGCCTGGACACAAAAAGATAGTGCCAGGCCTATTAAGGAAATACAAATCTGCAAAGAAAGGCATTATCTTCATCCTAAAAAAATTTAAAATTTTGTCCCACTAAAGGATAACAGATTACACCAGCAAAAAAACATGAAAATAAAAAGCATGAAAAGTTGAAAACCCATATTCTGAATTGAAAAGCAATTTGTTTCCCAGGATAAGGTGGTCTTACCTTATGAGCCTTTTTGAGTGCATTTCCATCCATGATAAGAACACCTTGCCAAGCACCCTTCCCTGTTGCAACCATTGCTACCGTAGCGTAGGGGTTGCTAGTCCCATGGCAAAAAGGCAAGCAACCACTAATACTTGCGATACCGAATTGTAATGCCAGCTGAAATTTATCCATGCCTTTTCGTATCTAGTTTTCCAGAAAAAGACCAAATTCTCCAGGGTTGAACCATCCAAGCCATGTCAAAAATGCAACAATGACAACCTGATGTAGGAAGAAAAAAAAAATCAATCATGCAATTGAAAATTTGTCATAATACGTGGTGTACTTTGCCTCTAGCTACCAATTAGCCAATTTGTTAAGCAACAAAATTCAACTTTAAACAAAATATGATTTTTGAGGCAGAAAAAAAAATACGCGAAAGTTATTGGATAAAAAGCTCAAAAGCGGAAAACTGGGCAAAAGGAAAGGAAAGAAGCCAAAGACATATAAGGGAAATGAAATGACGAGAAACCTTAAAAGACAATAAGATGAAAAGCAACGTCTAGAATATAGGCTATTGATCTTCTACATTAATAGCGGCATTTTCATTAAGAAAAAGCATCTCCTGCTGACAGTCAGATACAACTTCGCCAAAACATCAGATGTCTTCCCTTTAGCTAGAACTTCTAATTAAGTACTTTCCCAAGAGTATATCAACATAGAACTAGTTTCAAAGAAATCTTGCCCTTCAAATTTATCCAAAGCATATGCTTACACAAGTGGAATATTCACAGTTTTTTTGAAATTTCAGCATCAAAATAATGCAATTATCAAATGCAACTAAGAGTAAAACAAAAAGAAAGCTAACATAAAACATACAACTTACATGATATCTTTATCTTTATAGAACGGAGACGATCAGACGATTTGTTGGGAATATTAGTAGTGGTAGATGAGAAGCGGTGTTAAACCTTTAGCCTCCTGCTTTTTCCTTTACAAGTTTAAATTAATCCTCATCCGAACTACAATAATAACTCTCGCTATCCTCACTACTATCATTTCCGGATTCCCATTCATCCTCATCTTCGTTTGCCTCTTCCGGTGCATTGTATTGAGGCAGATCACCAAGGTCAATTGATATTTCGAATTCGGGAACTCCATGTACGTCAAACGGTTCTTGGACAATATTAGTATCCCGGAGTGTTTCTTCACCAATTTCTATCGAAGATGATAACTGTTGGTCAGCGACGTTGTCGTCGTTGTCATCATGATCTAGTTCTGGAATATCATATAGCCTTCTTCGATCAATCTTCTGAACAACTTTCCAACCATTGCCGACTTTAGGGTCGTCTAGATCGAATATTTGTTTCGCCATAGTTGCCAAAATGTAAGGGTCTTCATCGTACCAATGTCTCGTAGTGTTTACTGATAGTAAACCATGATCTCGCTTAACACTTGTTCGGTTATGTGGGTTTGTATCAAACCAAAGACACTTAAACAGTATCACTTGACACCTATTTTTGTAAAGCAATTGTACTACACTAGTTAGTTTGCCATAAAAATCAATGTCTTCACTGTCGCCCACACCCGGGACATGGACACCACTATTTTGAGTAGACAACTTGTCATCACGTGTTGCCCCCAAGAACTTGATCCCGTTGACATGACAACCCGAGAACAATTCAACGTGAAGTGGTCCTCTCGCCAAGTTATATAATTCTTCATCGTAAGAGGGTGAATTCAATTCCTTCAATTTGTTCATCTAATATAACATATACAAAAAGTTAACTTGTTAGTGTAACCAAATTTAAAGACAGGCATGAACAATTTGGAAAATATGCTCAACTCAAACCACATACAACTTACATGTGTGTAAAACCACGAAGGAAACAAGTCACGGTGCTTCTTGGCATATAAATGTGAAGGATGTTCCCGCTTCATCAACCGTTCATGCTCTTCAAGGTATGACAAAGCCTCGTCACAATTGTTGAGTATGAACCAATGCGCTACCTCCATGTCATTTTTGGTAAATGATTCGCCTTTAACAGGATCGCCGAATGGTCGCGCAATTTGGGCAAAAACAGACAGTTTCTCTTTTCTGACACCACCGTCATTATTGCGTTGAGGACGATTGAAAGTTCTCTCAACATCTTGAAGATACATTGCACAAAAAGTAAGTGACTCATATGCGACCCATGCCTCCACCAGTGATCCTTCGGGCTTTGCCCTGTTTCGAACACACTTTTTCAACTCACCAAGATATCTGCACAAATAAAAGGTTTGCTACAAATTATTCAAAGCATTCGTTGATCATGAATATATATATATATATATATGAGCTTAATTAAGTACCTTTCAATTGGATACATTCATCGACAGTTCACTGGTCCGGCAAGCAATGCCTCATCTGGCAAGTGAATCATCACGTGAATCATACTTGTAAAGAAAGCTGGGGGAAATATATGTTCGAATTTGCATAAGACGTTCACAATGTCGTCCTGCAATTGTCTAACATCCGACTTCCGCAAACACCTTGCAGTCAACTGCGAAAAAAATCTCGACAATAACACGATTGGTTTCACCACATCAAGAGGCAATAAGTGTCGAATACCAACCGGAAGAAGGCGTTGGAGTATCACATGACAGTCATGACTCTTCATGTTTGAAAATTTACAACCCCTCACGTTCACGCAACGCGAAATATTGGAAGCATACCCATCCGGAAACTTTACAGAAGAAATAAAGTTGAAAAACTCTTTCTTCCCATTCGGCTTAACTGTAAAAAAAGGATGGCATTTCTTCAATGTACCACCGACTCTCTGCATCCACAAGGATGACCTAATGCCCATTTGTTCCAAATCAAGGCGAGCTTCGATTGTGTCTTTTGTTCTTCCTTCAATGTCTAGAATTGTCCCCACCAAAGTATCAAACACATTTTTCTCAATATGCATAACATCTAGGTTGTGTCTCAATTTTAACTTTGACCAGTACGGGAGCTCAAATAACATACTCTTGTGCGTCCAGTTCAAATGTGTACTTGGTCTGGGCTTATTAACCCCTTTGCCGAAATTACCAAATTCCAAACGATTTAACTGATCCAAAATCTCATCTCTAGACCATTCTCTTGGTCTTAACCGAGTCTCTTTTGTGCTGTGGAAGGCTTTATCATTCTGACGCCACTCGTTGTCCCAAGGGAGCCATCTACGATGACCAAGATAACAAACTTTTCTCGCATGCCAAGACGATGTTACATTCTCCTTGCATATTGGACATGCCAAATAACCCTTAGTCATCCACCCAGAAACCATTGCATACGCTGGAAAATCGTTTACTGTCCACATAACTGCCGCTCGCATGGTGAACATCTGCCCAGTATACTTATCGTATGTACGAACACCGTTTTCCCATAAATCTTTTAGCTCATCAACCAACGGCAGCAAATAAACATCAATGGACTTTCCTGGATCTTCGCTAATTAATAGAGTCAACATCATGTATTCTTTTTTCATGCACTTCCAAGGCTGTAGACTATAAGGAAACACGACGACCGGCCAAGTGCTGTGGATTTGGTTTAAAACCCCAAACGGATTAAATCCATCGGTGGCAAGTCCCAATCTGACGTTGCGCGGGTCAGCTGCAAAATCAGGGTACATCCGATCGAATTCTTTCCATGCCTCTCCATCTGCAGGATGCCTCATAACATCGTCATTTACTCGTCCTTCTTTATGCCGTCTCATGTCGGTAGCCGTATGCATCGACATGTACAATCGTTGCAACCTAGGCTTCAATGGAAGATAACGCATTACTTTTTGTGGAATCTTGGTCTTTCTATTCTGTGATGTCATTTTAAACCTCGGCTCATTGCAGATAGGGCATTTATCCAACTGTTTGTTCTCCTTATAAAACAATATACAATTATTTACGCATGCGTGAATTTTTTCATACCCCATTCCGAGACCCTTCAACATTTTTTGGGCACTTTTATGATCTTCAGGTAAACAATTCTCCTTTGGCAGCATCCTCTTGATAACTCCCAAAAAGTAATCAAAACACTTGTTTGACAAACGAAACTTGATCTTGCCATGCATCAACTCCACAATTGCTGTGAGCACCGAAAAGTTCTCGCAACCCGGATATAATTCTTGGTTGGCATTTTTCAATAGTTTTTCATAGTTTTTAAATGCCTCAATGTCCATGGTTGGACGGTCTTCATCTCCCCCTTCCTGATTGGTGTTGCTCGAGGCGTATGGATAAACATCATTTACAATATTCATAACTTGTTCACTAGGATCCACATTAGATTCAACAGTCTCCACTCGTGTCACATATGAAGACGAAGCTTGGTCTAATCGTTCTCCATGATGATACCAAGTAGTATAGGTCTCCATCATCCCATTTCTTACTAAATGAAATCGAACATTTTCGAATGTCTCCCACATTGAGTTGTTACACCTCCTACACGGACATCGGATATGAGTTGAACCTCGGCTGTGTCTAATTGCGAATTTAGTGAACTCTTCTATTCCATCCAAGTACTCAACATCACATCTATTATGATTATGTATCCACTGTTTGTCCATTTTGTCTGCAATCCCAATAAAAGTACAAGAGTTACAACAACTTCAACTACTGTATTGTCACCTTATTCCTCTGGTAAGGGCCCTATCCCATTTAGGAATGCATAGTTATGTGCCGTAATTTACGATTCCAATGGATTAAATTTCGACGTGGGCTAATTTCGGCAGCATCTCCTTACAGTTCTTCAAGTGCACGCCGTAGATACATAATATCCATCGTGTACTCGAAGAACAATAGGAAATGTTACCAAAATTTCCACTATCGAAACCTAATCCGTGAACCGCACACTACAACACATAACTATGCATTCCCAAACTGTCCATAAAATGGGACAATTCAAGAATTAATTGGACCGCAGTCATGCTTTTGCATCCATACACGAAATCCAACTAATTCTCAAATGGGAAACTAAGCTTTTCTTGACAAAAGTGTACGAAATTAAGTAGTATTAATTTCGTACAACACAAAACAATTTTGTACGTGACGTACAAAATTGTGCATACAAATAAATTAAATCCCAATAATTACTAAACCTAAATAAAATAGATAAAATTAATAAAGATCAGTTACAAATTCAATCCCAAAAAACTCTAACATGACCAAAAAAGGGCATAGCACGCAGGCAAAAGTACACAATAACAAGTATAAGGAATCTGAAGTTAGTTGCTCAAAAATTGGTGTTCATATGTGATCAGGGGAAATAATATAGCTGTATAAAATAGGTTAAAATGAAAACCAAACTCTTGACCGAAATTTTAGATCTTTACAATCTTCCTTAAAATATTGCTTTTGCATTTATTTTGTTTTGGTAATTTAAAAAATTTCCTATCCATGAGGATTAAAAGCTCCTTTGCACCATTAATAGATTCCGTAAATCTTCATAGAGGGCATGATATGATATGCTATAAACTGTAAAGATGAAGGGATTGTTCATAAATTTCGAAAGAGTGTCCTGTTTGTCGACCATTCTTGTTTCATATATCGAACTAGACAGCTATTTTATAATGTCAGTTTTGATTTATCAGTAGTCCAGTGATCATTTCGTTTAATTCAGATTGTTTGTTCATGTAATGGTATTCGACAGGTAGATTTTCTTGTGGGACACTAATATCTGTCATATGTGTGATTTTCTTGTTGGTGAAGATGCGAACGCCTAAAGGACGAGAAACTTTGAAACCCTTAAATCCCGTATAGGCTATGACTGGGTAGATTTAGAGTGCTTAAGTAAGTCGTATAATGTTTATATCCATTATTTGTGCCTTTTGTGAATAAGCTTTTAGCTGTTTAGTGGTTGCTTAGTTTTATTTGTTTCTGTGCATTATGTGTTCTAGGGCCTTGAGTATGTCATGCTATTGTTTTTTGTTTAATTCAGTTACGCAAACTCAAAAGAGCCCATTATTTGCAATCACCTTAATTTATCAGACTTTTTCAAATGAATTTAATTTATGATGATTTGAAGTAAACGTCATTTTAATTTCCATTGTTGGTAGATTCGCACAAGACATGTATGCTTGTATTAGGCTATAAAATGAAAAGTTTTCCCTTCGTTCAATTTCACGTTTTTGCTCACGTTTTAATCTCTCTTCCTTGCGTTGCCTCTCACGCATCAACCTCTCTTTTCTTTTCATCTCTCACGTTTTTCCATTTCCTTGTTTTATAAACAGAAAAATCAAAATATCAGCATATTAATTGCTATATATGCTTCAGAAAAAATTGTTTAGGACTTAAAAATAGAACCTTTCTCCTCAGAATTTCTTGTTTCTCCAGCTCCTTGCGGATCCGCAACTCATGAGCTTCAACTTCTTTAGCGATTCTCGCTTCTTCACCTACAAGAAGCAACTAGTTAAGTCCTTGGTTGACAAAATATACTATAATGAAGTTAACTGAACAAGTATACCTTGCGTTTCCTCTCAATTCTCAGGATAGAGTCATTAATTTGGCCTTCAGATAATACGTTAGAGTTTTCTAGTGCAGGTGCAACAACAGGGGGATCACTAAACTGAGTATTTACCCTCACGTTAGAGAAGGAGTCCCTTTGTGCTACACTGCCATCATCAATAGGAGATCAAAATTTTCAATATATTGGGAATTTACCAAGCTGAGTATTTACCCTCAATCATATATGCATGATAAGAACAAAAAAGATCAAAATTTTCAATATATTTGGTAATATTAACAAAAATTTCGATACAATCATATATATAAAAAAAATGGATGAATAACATAGATGTTTTTAAATCACCTGAGTGTGATCAGGTGGCTATGGAGGTCTTCAGGTGAGGAATGGAGGTCTGCAGGTGAGGAAGACAGCGGTAAAACATTTCCGTGTTGACTTGGGTTAGAACACTGGAAAGAAACAGAGACAGCGGTAAAACATTTCCGTGTTGACTTGGGTTAGAACACTGGAAAGAAACAGAAAAAGGGATATTTTCGTGTTGACTTTGCGCGACGTAGTGAACCTGCGTCGCGCAAAGTTGGAAAAAAGCGGTAAACCATCCATAGTTTGGCGCCAAATCTTGCGCGACGCATACCTACGTCGCGCAAAGTTGGAAAAAAGCGGTAAACCATCCATAGTTTGGCGCCAAATCTTGCGCGACGCATACCTACGTCGCGCAAAACAGGTTTGCGTGACGCACTT